AAGAATTGTAAAAATTGGAATTTCAATAAAGACAAAAAGTTGAAGTATGTAAATGACCAAACCTGAAAGTGATTTGACTTGAGGGACAAGAGCAAGTTTTAACCTCGAGGAAGCATCTCGAGATTCAGAGTCTCCCTTTTTCGGAGACGCACTCCGGGCAGTCTTTCCACTATCAGGCTGGGAGGAGGAAGACATATCAACCGGACGTGGAGGACCCATTGGTTCAGGAGGAGGAGATGATCGAGGTGAGCGGTCAGTTCGGACCCTCGACTTTTCCCTCTGCGGAGAAGAATCGCTGCGAGAGGACTTGTCTCTCTTCCGGCGAACCAAGTTCTTAATTGGCTCGTTACTAAAATCATCTCGGGGAGGACGAGGTGAATCACGGCGAGGAGATTGAACCCTCCGAGGAGAACGTGAGTCGCGACGATCGCGACGAGGAGTTAATCTGAAGGAAGCGACAGATCGAGCTCCCTCGGTGCTGCCATCATCAACCAGCAAGGTTCTACTGTAGTCCTTCTTGTCTATAGAAGTCGCGAGGAACTTTTTCTTCTCCTCGCAAGCCTCAGCCATCGGCTTGGAAAGCAACTTACGCTTGGCCGCAAGGGCCCGAGATGACATTCCTTGAGTTGAAGGAGGGGGAGGAATTTGGTGAAGATGACCAGGCGGACTCATCCTGAGTCTGTGGTTAGCTTCCAGGAATCGTTCAAGAGTGAAGGAATTCCAAAGGGTTTCCCCTTCAAGAATTATTTTGAAGAATTCGATGAACTCTTCAGATGGGAGATTGGAAGCGATGAAAGCTGCGAAATGAAACAACGGTGTTAGTCAATAAAGATAAAGAAACAACCGGGAAAGATACGGGCAACCTAATCACTACCGGGTTTCGCAGACCACTTCGAAGGGAGAAAATCAGCGAGATTTCCAATCGAAGCGGGGGTTTTCTTAATTAGAAACCAAGGATGATGCCAATTTTCATCCTTGTTCGGAAGATGCGAAATGATGTTCCTGTTGGCATTAGGATATGCTGAGAAATATCCCGTTTTCTTCGATGAACTTCTCACGCTCAGAAGCTCATTTAGTTCAGCAACTCCGATAACATAACCGGC